GGTGGAAAATAAACTGAATGCCGGGAGAAATAATCCAGAGTCAGGATACGCCATCTGCTGGGAACAGATGCACCAGAACATTACCCGGTGAGCCACAGCGTTATGGCAGTGCACAGATTAATGGAGATGGGCTAGTTTCATAGCCAATAAGAAGCTATAACAAATAGACCAAACAGTGATTTAATTAATACAGTTTCTGAGTGGTTATTTCAGAAATTCCATTATGTCAGCGATCAGAGGACCTAGACATACTTGTCAGGCTAAGGATCTCCCTCTTTTATCCCTTAGAGAGTCTGTGGGGACATGGCTGGAGGAAATGGAAGATTTCATCTGAGAAAACGTTTAATTTCCATGCCTAGTATAAGGAAAGGAAATGGGGATAGAAAAGATGAAAATAGAAAAAAATGAGGATAGAAAAGAACCATATTTCAAAATATATAACACTCATTCTCCTGTCCTGTCTCTACCCTGCACTACCTTTATTATCCAGGCCAGATAGGCATAGATGGATGAATCATACCATGGTTTCACATCAGCGGTCTCAGTGCCAAAAATCATAACAAAGGGAAGTACCTGAGCACCTACAATGAAGGTTAAAAAGTTAATGAGATTTAAGTATGATGTTACACACCTGTAATTCTGGAACTCATGAAGCAGAGGTAGACTGTCAGTTTAAGTCTACCATATGCTACAATATGAGGAAAGAATTTCCTCATTATAAAACTCCTTGACAAAGCTTATTTTTTTTTTTACTATATGTGAACAAACAAGATTGGTTGCACATGAGCTATACCAGAAATCTAGAGTATTGAGAGTTCAAGGCCAACTGTATAAAATTAGAAAAACCCAGGGTAGTCTGAGCACATAGCAATATGAGGCAGTGGAATGGTAGTTAGTGGAGAGTGAGAAAGGAGTTAGGGTAGAACAAGAAAGGAGAGGATAAAGGAGAGGAAAAAGGGGCGGAGTTGTAGGTGGGGAGGGTAAAGGATACAAAGGGGACAGAGGTGAAGAAGAGTGGGGATGGAAGTAAAAAGTAAAGGTGAAGTAGGTGGAGTGGGGAAAAGATAGGAAGAAATGAGAGAAGTAGGGCAAGGTGGGTAAAGGAGAAGGGAGCCCACATAAGGAGACATGTAGGTAATTACATGTAGATAAGGGAGGAGAATGGAAACGAAGGAGAGGAGGAGGGAAGAGTAAAGGAATATTAGGAAAATGAGATGGGGAGGGGAGGAAAGGGAAGGCAAAATAAGTAGGGAGAAGAGTAGAGAGGGGAGAGTGGAGGAGAGGAGGAAAGATTAGGTTAAAGCAAGTGAAGGAAGTATGTAGGGGAGGCAGGGATTTTAGAGGAGAGGAGGAGAGAAGTTAAGGAGTGGTAGGGAAAGAAAAAGGCTGGGAAAAGTGGCAAGGGGAAGAGTCACTAGGCTAAAAGAGGTGAGAGGTAGGTAGGGAGTAGGAAACAAGAGAAAAGGGAAGGGAGTGGAAGGGAGTGGTAGAAAGGGGAAATGAGAACCCTGAAATAGAAACAGCCATAGGTGAATGGAGAGAAGGGGCAGAGATGAGATGGGAAAAAAAAACAAAGGAAAACTAACAGTATTGAAGAGAAGCAAGACAAATAGAGGCGATGGGAAAGGGCTAAATAAGAATGAATAATAACTAGCTAGAAAAGACAAGCATCAGAAAACTCCCTCCTATAGAACAAAAGAAAGCAGATCAACACCCATGGAGCTTTATTTACAGAAACACAGGAAAAGAATGGGAAAGATGTTAAGGTGAAGATTACTTCACATCCATTTTGTGTTCAGAGGTATACAGGAACAGAAGAGGGGAAATGTGAAGTTGAAGATTGCATGAGTCCCTAATCAGGGGTCTGCAGGAACAAAATAAGCAGGAACACAGTTGCAGATTACTTCATTGCTGAGTTCTATTCACACATCAAGAAAAATAGAATGGGAGGAACAAAATGGGAAGGAAGAGAGTTGCCTATTAAATCACTTCCAACTTATATTTAGAGGTACATAAAAATAAAATGGGAGGGGCCAGAAGTTGCAGATAATATCACTTCCTGGCTCTGATCAGCAGTCTATGGGAACAGAAGGAGAAGGGCCAGAAGGTGAGGATAATATCACTAGTTGGCTCTGATCAGAAGTCTGAGGGAACAGAAGGGGAGGGGCCAGAAGGTGAGGATAATATTAGTTCCAGGATCTGTACAGCGGATTATATCAGTTCCAGGATCTGAACAAAAGTGTACTGGAACAGGAGGGATAGGCCAGAAGGTTAGGATAGTATCACTTCTGGGCCTGATTAGCAGACCAGGGGAACATATGGGAAGGGGCTGTGAGGTGAGGATAATATCAGTTTTTCCCGGCTCTGATCAGAGGATTATATCCTTTCCGGCTCTGTTCAGAAATCTTGGCGAATATAAGGGGAGGGGCCGGAAGGTTAGGATGACCTCACTTCTGGGCTCTAATCAGAAGTGTATGAGAACATAAGGGGAGGGGCCGGAAGGTGAGGATAATATCAGTTCCCGGCTCTGATCAGAGGCTTATATCCATTCTGGCTCTGTTCAGAAGTCTATGGGAACATAAGGGAAGGGACCAGAAGGTGAGGATGACCTCACTTCCAGGCTCTAATCAGAAGTCTAAGGAAACAGACAGGGAGGGGCCGGAAGGTGGGGATAATATCAGATCCCGGCTCTGATCAGAGGATTATATCAGTTATGGATTTTGTTCAGAAGTCTAAGGGAACATAAGGGGAGGGGCCGGAAGATGAGGATGACCTCACCTCTGGCCTCTAAAAAGAAGTCTTAGGAAACAGCCAGGGAGGGGCCGGAAGATGAGGATTATATCTGTTCCAGGCTCTGTTCAGAAGTCTAGGGGAACATAAGGGGAGGGACCAGAAAGTGAGGATGAACTCACTTCCAGGCTCTAATCAGAAGTCTAAGGAAACAGATGGGTAGGGGCCAGAAGGTGAAGATAATATCAGTTCCAGGCTTGGTTCAGAAGTTTAAGGGAACAGAAGGGAAGGGGCCAGAAGTTGATCATAATATCAGTTATGGGCTCTGATTAGAAGTCCAGGGAATCTTAGGTGAGCATGACCTCACTTCCTTTCTCAGTTCAGGAGTCTATAGGAACAGCAGAGACATGGCCAGAAGTTGAGGATTACTCTTTTTCCGTGGACTCAGCTGAGGAAAGTTGAATTGTCCAGTCATCTTAGTGATCTATTCTAGGTAATTCGGGGTTTGGGTTGGGTAATCTGTTTTAAAATTGTCAGAATTTATCTCTTCCACCCCTCCTTGTCCCTTTTAGCCCTTTTATTTGAAAAGCTGCTTTTGGTTAGGTGCCTGTGTGCATCTTTCGAGTTTTTGGGTAGATGCAGCAGTTTTACCAACAGCCTGTATTTTGGGTTTTTGTTTGTTTGTTTGTTTGTTTTGTTTTTCTGCAGGTCTCATTGGATGAATGCCCTGGCACAGGGCACTAAACTTCACCAAAACAAAATTACTGGGCTCTAAGGGGCTAGAGAGAAACCTGTCTTCAAAATTCCATGCTCTGTGTCTGTTGGTGTGGTCGATATACACAGACAGGTGGTGCTGTGTTATGGAAAAATGGTTTTGCACAGTTACGTGCTTCTTCCCATACATGGTGGCTGTAATGGGACTGTTGTGACAGGCTCTGTCCCTTTATGGTGGCCTAAGAGGGTCCATTTGCACAGATCTCTGCCACTGTATGGGGATCTATGTGGGTAATACATATGCCCATAGGTCTTTTCTTGGATGGTGGCCTAAGAGGGTTTGCATAACCATAGGACTTCATCCCTGTATAGTGGCCTAAGTGGGACTAATAAGGACCAAAGACTGAAGTTCTCCTTTACTTTACCTTAAGAAAGTAAGACGGGGCTGGAGAGATGTCTCAGTGGTTAAGAGCATTGTGTGCTCTTCCAAAGGACCGGAGATCGATTCCCAGCAATCACATTGCGGCTCACAACCATCTGTAGTGAGGTCTGGTGTCCTCTTCTAGCAGGCATATATGCAAACAGAATATTGTATCCATAATAAATAAATAAATATTTAAAAAAAAGAAAAGACAGTAAGGCAATGTTTCCTTATCACTAAAATAACCTAGAAATTCTACCCCAGTCAGATAATGTCAGGATGAAGACTTTAATCACCATGGAAACAACACTACTTTTAAGAGGAAAATCCCTCCAGTATTTCAATTTTTGCTAGTACTGAGTCCCGATTGACACCTGTAGTAATAGGAGCGGCGGGGCTGCGTCCCCAGCGCCCCGGCTGCCCACATGGCTAGCTTATGCTCTGAAATAACAACACACAAACTGTATTCATTTAAACACTCCTTGGCCCTTTAGCTCTAGCCCTTACAGGCTAATACTGATATAAAGATCAACCCATCTCTAATAATCTGTGAGCACCGGACTTACTGGGAAGATTCTAGCCTATGTCCACACTGGGTTGGAGCTTCATCGCGTGTGTCTGCCCAGGAGAGGAGAGGACGGCATCTCTGAGCTCACTTCCTCGTCCTCCCAGCATTCTGTTCTGTTTACGCCACCCACCTATGTTCTAATCTATGAGCCCAAACAGTTTGTTTATTACTTAACCAATGAAATCAACAGATTGATATATGCTACTCCCACATCAGACACCTGAAAGATGAAGTGGGAAGAAAGGCAGATTAAATTTCTACCTGAGTGATACTGAGGGAGTTTGTAGTGTCAGTTTGGGAAGAACAAAAGGAAGTGGGTATAAAGGACTTTACTAATAATAGATATGATTGGTTATGAATGTAAAGTAAGGGAACACTTGAATCTTGATCCCAAGGGACCCCAGTGAAAGGCCTGACCTACTCTTGGAAGCCTGAGACTAGATTTTCATGCAGTGGTCTAACAAGTTTTAATTTCCTCCACAGGGTTTGCAGAATAGAGACTGATCCACGAGTACAGGAGCCCTGGTATGTTCCAAGAAAGATGTCCTTCTGGAAAGCTGCAAAAGCAGGTCTTTGTTAAATCCCAGGTATTCTTTATCTGGTTACAATGTGCTGCTTACAGATTTTCATTGTCACCCTTTCAGATTCCTGCCTTGTCAGTTCTCCTGCTTCATTCCTGAGCCCAGTCATCATGCCTAGGGGTCAAAAGAGTAAGAGCCGCTCCCGTGCAAAACGACAACAGGCACGCAGTGAGCTCCAGGGTCTCCCAGAAGTTCACACTGGAAAAGAAGCTGCATGTCCTCCTGTTGACCAGAGTGATGGCTCCAGGTTCCCTGATGTTTCTGCTCTACAGGGGCTAAAAGCCCCTGGATCTCACAGGGCAGATGTGTCCTGCACAGGCTCTGGTGTAGGTGTTAGGAATGCTGTTGCTCTTGCTGATAAGCAAACTTCAGGTGCTATTCAGACAGTGACCTCTATTCAGCACACACTTAAGGATCCGATCATGCGGAAGGCTAGTGTGCTAATAGAATTTCTGCTGGATAAGTTCAAGATGAAAGAGGCAGTTACACGGAGTGAAATGCTGGCCATAGTGAACAAGAAGTATAAGGAACAGTTCTCTGAGATCCTCCGTAGAACCTCTGCACGCCTAGAGCTAGTCTTTGGTCTTGAGTTGAAGGAAATAGATCCCAGCACTCAGTCCTATATGCTGGTGGGTAAACTGGGTCTCTCCACTGAGGGAAGTCTGAGTAGCAACTGGGGCTTGCCCAGGACCGGTCTCCTGATGTCTGTTTTGGGTGTGATCTTCATGAAGGGCAATCGTGCCACTGAACAAGAGGTCTGGCAGTTTCTGAATGGAGTAGGGGTATATGCTGGGAAGAAGCACTTAATCATTGGGGAGCCCCAAGAGTTCATAAACAAAGATCTAGTGCAGGAAAAGTACCTGGAGTACCGCCAAATTCCTGGCAGTGATCCACCATGCTATGAGTTCCTGTGGGGACCCAGAGCCCATGCTGAAACCACCAAGATGAAAGTTCTGGAAGTTTTAGCTAAGGTCAGTGGCACTGTCCCTAGTGCCTTCCCTAATCTCTACCAGTTGGCTCTTAGAGATCAGGCAGGGGGAATAAGAAGGAGAGGTCAAGGTAGGGCTGGCACCGTTGTCAAAGCCAGGATACAATCCAAGACTCTGTAGTTGAGTCTGTTCTATGGTTTCCGTATTATATTTGAAGAACAGTCTGCCTCCTAATGAGTGGAGAGTTCATAGAATACCAGAACCAAAATGTATGCATTCTTGACCTTCTATACATTAGTACAATATATTTTTGTTACTTTGTAAATGTCTCTTTAATCAGCGATTTGCGTAATGCTTATGTTAACTGCATAAAATGGTTAGTCACATGTGAATTTAGGACTCAAGAGATTTGTTACTTTCAAGAAATTGGAAAACCTTACCTTATTAAAATGTTATGTAACATTGCATTGGAAAGAGGATTTGCATGGAAATGTGATGTCATATGATGATGAAAGTAAAGTGGCAAGTATCTTACTGTTATTTTTGAAAATTTCATATTCCACTGCAATTTGTTAGCCATATACTTTTTTCCTTTCTTGTTAATGCTAAGTGAAATAAAGTTGTATTTGATGGCTTTACTTGGATTCATTAGAAAGTAAATTGTAAACCTCTCTTAATATATTCAAGAATATATTTTTTGAATTTTTTAATTTTCTATAGCTCTGGCTGTCATAGTACTCACTCTGTAGACGAGGCTAGCTTCAAACTTAGACATCCACCTGACTTTGTTTCCCAAGTGCTAGGATTAAAGGCATGTGTAATGGGTTTGCTGCAGGCTCCCAGCAGCTTGCTGCAGAAAGCAGCCAGTCCCAGGCAGGGACTGTGCAGGAGACCACGTGGCAGGATGGTGGCTGGTGCCCAGCAAGCTTTGTGGGCTGTTGGCTGGTCCCCGGCGACAGACAGTGGGTCCCAGGATGCTGCAAGTCCCCAGCAGTGGGCAGTCTTAGGCAGGGATGGCACACAAGACCACGCAGCAGGTCTCCAGATCTCCATGTGGTGGTAGGGGCCAGGCAAGAGAAAGATGGATAGCACGCCATACCAAGTGGAGTTGGACATTTATTTAGATGTTATGGAAGGGAGAAGGGCAGAACGTGGGAGAGAGAGAGAGCAGAGAGGAAAGAGAGAAAGGAGAGAGACTGGAGCTGCCTTTCTGAGAGGAAGAAGAAAAAGAGAAGACAGACACAGAAGCAGGGGAAGGGGCGAAGTGGGGAGAGAGGCAGAAGCTGCCTCTCTGAGAGGGAGATGGAAAAGAGAGAGCTCAGGCTGGAAGCTGATGATCAGCCTGCCTCAGCAGCTGGGGGAGGGAGTGGGCGTGGCTTGTACCTTAAAGAGACAGAATAATCTTTACAGCATTTATCATCACTGCCCGGCTTATTTCCTTCAATTTTTAATTAAGCATTGATTCTCTGTAATTTCCCCTCTTCCCTTCAATAACTGAATCTAGTAAGGAAAACATGGTGTAGTCACTGACAATGAGGTTATCAGAGTCTAGGAGCAGCTATATTTAAGAAAGTGGATAGATAATATATTAGGTAAGATATAAAACACAAATAGAAATATGATAGGAACATGACATTTTCTTGAGAGCTAACTGGAGATCACTATGGATTGTAATAGAATAGGCAATTCAAAGGGTATAAATGGATGAAAATGTAGCTCAATGACTATTGCTAGGATTTAATAATTGAGGAATATTTAATTTGCCTATGGGGTTGTTCTCTGTTAGACAAATTAAAGTTTGTGTTTTCAGTCAAGGGCTACCAGACTCACTAGGTGATTATCCAAATTATGCTTTTAAATATTTTTACCACCGAAATATTGAACCCTCCTTTAGAATTTCACAAACTATAATACAAAACATTTGGTGACTGAGTTTCATCAATGGCAAGTAATTTAAGTGTGGCTGTGTAATAGCCTGTGGTAAGTATTTTGAAATCCACAGTAGTGGGTTTCTTCTACCATGCAATATACCAAATCAAGCCAAATTAATAAGACCAGGGTTAATCGGAGCAAAGCAACTTCCAGGTTGCTCTGGTGGAGGGAAGAAAGCAGGAGAGAAATCACACTGTTGCACCCAAGAAGGGGGCCTTAAATACCCTGTAGGTGCAGTCTCTGAGCAGCTCCAGGGGAGGAAATGCCAATGGCAGGCTTTCTGAGACTGGGGTCTGGTTAGAGAGAGGTGGGGCTGGTATACCAGGCAAGTATCTGGGCTACATTTGGAATGGGACCTGAGCTGGAGATTCCCAACATCCTGAATAATTTGGAGGAGTGGTAAGGACCAGATTCATATGACATTTCTGAGAGCAGACAGACTAGGTCTGAATAAGGAAACAAATATTTTTCCCCGTTTATTTATTTATTAAAGATTTCTGTCTCTTCCCCGCCACCGCCTCCCATTTCCCTCCCCCTCCCCCAATCAAGTCCCCCTCCCTTGTCAGCCCAAAGAAAATTCTTTTGGAATTTGACAGTGCCACAAATCTCCACTTGGGGCAAGAATGGACCATCAGCTCATTGCCCCAGTGCAGGTAAACGGAGTACACAAATTGTATATAACAATATTTAGAGAATTTTATAAAAAAATCAAAGTGATACTTGTGAAGAGGTAATAAGAAGTCACTGAATGCACACTCAGTATACACAGATAAAGTCAGATTCTGTTCCATTAGTAGGGAACTTTAATAAATTACTGTTTTAGGAGGCCACTTCTTTGTTCCTGGCTGCTCAGCCCTAAAATAACGACAAAGAAACTATTAATTAAATCACTGCTTGGTTGATTAGATCTAGCTTCTTATTGGCTAACTCTTCTATTAATTTAACCCATATCGATTCATCTGTATTGCCACATAGCCGTGGCTTACTGGGTAAAGTTCCACCTGGCATCTGTCCCTAGTGGAGCTACATGGTATCTCCCTGACTCTGCCTTCTTTTCCCCAGGATTCAGTTTAGTTTTCCCCACCTAGCTCTGTTCTGCCCTGCTCTGCTTTAGGCTCAAAGCAGTTTCTTTATTAACCAATGGTATTCACAGCATACAGAGGGGAATCCCATATCAAATTATCATCTTCAGTCTAAATAATCTCAGCAGGGCTGAAGAGATGGCTCAGTGGCTAAGAACACTGGCTGCTGTTTCAGAGGACCCAGGTTGGATTCCCAGTACCCACAAGGTGGCTAAACCATCTGTAATTCCAATTCTAAAGGATCCAATTCCTTCTGGCTTTCATGGGCACATGATGCACAGATATACATACAGGCAAAACATTCATACAGATAAAAACTAAGTGTTTAAAGACACAGTCTCGGCCTTACACTGTGACATTTGACCTTTATCAGATTCAAAATGCAGTCAAAGAACTTGCAGTTTCTTGAGTTATCAAGAATAGTACACTGCACAGCTATACTAATTATCTAAGCTGAATTACTCAGAAGTAAATAGCATGGTATCATTCCAAGAAAGAAGCAGGCCTTGTATCTGTGATTCATTTTCTACCCATTACTTCAAAAATTATTTCTGATGATAAACATCTGATTCCCAATGTAAAATACTGTTTTACAATATAGTGAACAAAAGATTAGCAATGAAAATACCAAACATAAATGTAAAGTACGATTAAAGTGAGAGACTGATGCAAGAGGATTGGGAATTGGAGGCCAACCTACAGAACCTCCTAGGATGCATAGCAAGACCTATCACAAAGATTATTTGACGGTGTAATTGCCTAAAGCTTAAAAAAAAACCTCAAAAGACTAGAGGTTCATAAATCATAACTTTAAGCTGTCCTATATAAAGTAACTATCCTTACACAGAAATTACCTAAGAGACCATGCCTGTATGGCTGTAGTAGGTATAAATCACTATTTTTTTATGTGTAACAGCACACAACCCCTGTCCTGGGATTTCAGCTTGGTCCTGACTATCATTTTTGGAGTATGTCTGTCCCCTGCAGAGGGGAAATAACCTAGGGTTTGGAGGACTGTTCTATTTCCTAGAAGTCTTCCAAGAGATAAATGCTGCTCAAGAAAAGGAATTGCTAAGATCCCAGCCGGGGGTCTGCTTTCAGATCTAGAAGGCTGAGGTGGGTTTATGAGACTGAAACCTCATGACTCGATGCCCAGTGTTCCCAGGTACATGAGAGCTTTTTTCTGCAAGGTGACCTAAAAATAAGAGACTCTCATATAGGGCATAGTTCTGTTAGGAACTATGTGATCTTAAATATCTAACGTGAAATACTTGGAATCCAGCAAACTAAGAGTAGAATGGTGAGACTTAGTGGATCAGAAGGGTAGGTTAAGGGAATAGTTTGAGAAAAGTTGGTCTCTGGGTAGTAAGCTACAGTTGGAAATCAGAAACCTCATCCTACTATACTTACAATTTTGCAACTACTGATAGCAATAATTTTCTTTAACTTCAAAATGCAAAAAGATTAATATGTTCACTACGAAGAAATTATTTAATCAAACTTCATGTATACTGTGTATGTATAGTGTATATATGCATAATCTGAATATAGAATGTATACAAATAGTTAAATATCCTACAGTATCAACTTAATATGTACAATTTTTAGTTAAATGGCTATAAGGATGAAAAACTGAAATTCCAAACATTTAACATTAGGGCCTGGAGAGAAGACTGGGAACCTGAAACTTGATGTCACCCCTGGCAAGCTACAGACAGGTTTAGGCCATTTGTCAGTGATTACCTTCTCTCTCTGGAGTTTAATGGAAGAACAAAACTGGCCTGAGTCTTTGAGACAAGACATTGGGAAGAAGTTCACACTGTCTTTCCAGGAACAAATGCAGCATGATGAGTGATACACGGAGGGTCAGCAATACCGGAGAACTAAGGTGGTACAGAACCTGACTTTTCCATGTGCACTAGAACAAACTGGGCAAGACTACCAGAATGGCTTATGAAAGAAAGTTTACAGTAATATAAAGACTTTGGCAGGAGATGAGGACAATTAAAATAGGACACAATAGGACTATCAAGTTAGCCTAAATCTATATTTCAGTATAGATACCTGAAAGACTCAAAGACTCACAAGAGAGACTCCTAGCTGAGGAGCTGTTTGAAACTGATGGCTGCTGAAGGATAGAGTGTTGGTTTTCTTTATGGTTGTATC